GTAATAACCCTTGTAAGGGCTAAGAACGGCATAGTTGTCACATGTGAAAAATTTCGGGAAGCAAGACCTAGAATATTGACACGGCCAAGGGAAGACTTTGAAAGAAAAATTTATTGAAGGAAAATGCTAAGGAAGGATGCGGTAGGCCATTGGAATGGCTTGACCGGCATTGATTAAGACCGAATCGGTAAAGCCGACGGACCATCAAGTGAGTGGAAATTCCTTAAGGCAGATTACGGGAATAATCTAGATCGATGGAGATGGGCCTTAAGTTGAGTGACCGCAAGACCTTGGGTTGGTCGTGGCCTAGTCGAGACGGCCGGGGAAAGATTTAAGATTTTTCTTCCAAGAGTACGGCCTTGGAGAAATTCAACTTGGACCAGACTAAGGAAGTCCTAGGACGAGTTTTGGTCGAAGGAAATCTGAAATCTACCGAGGGAATATAGTTTTGGGTCGAGGAGAAACTCCGCGGGTAGAGTTTTACGCATCGGGGTCGAAAAATATGTTGTGGGCCGAGCCGGATCATATCGCGGGTAAGATAGGGCAGTGTCGTGACTCGAGGCAGTGTGTCGGGGGTCGAACGCGGGTAAGACAGGTCGCATCATAGGGTTTCTGTCCGACATGTCCCAGTTCGCTGGGTAACAGGGACTGCTGACATGTGTCCATCAGTTGTCAGAGGGGTGGTAGACACGCGGTAGAACTGTCTCTACGTGTCCAAAACCCTAAATGACCGACCCCTTACCCTAGCCTATAAATACCGACCCATGAACCGTTTTTCTCGATCATCTTTGTAGCCTTTACCCAAACTCTGTCAATTTTCATTTAGATCGAGTTTTGAGAAAACGTATCGAAGAATATCAATCCGTGGGTAGCTAGGGGTACGCGTATCGGTAAGACTTGGTGTTTTCCGTAAATTCTTTACTCTTTTCTAGATTGATCCGATCTTTAAGTTAAGAAAGTGTTTTCTTAGCTTCAGATCAATTCGTTTCCAAGGGGAATGAGTTCGTTCGGTGATAAAGACTAGTCACCGCATATACTCTGTGAGTGAGCGTTCGAGTGTTGATGAGTCGAACACCCGATAAATTTATATGTCTTGCATGCTTAATTTAATTTAGCGGTAGCATTGCATCACGAACGTTTGAGCTTGATTGTTGTCGTTAGTACGTACAAGCATGATTAGGCCTAGGAGTTGGTTGCGGTAAGATGATAAACTGCATGCTATGGCCTAGTCATGGGAATTGTTCGTACATAGTTAATTACTATCGTTTTGCATGCTAAGTAATTAAAGTGGGACTTGTATGCATTTTCGATAGTTACATGATTTGGATATTGCACTTAGCTTAGTGAATTTGGATTCAGGTCAAGTCGCATTGATTACTTGGTGGTTAGTATTCGCGTTGTCTCGAGCGTAGGTTGTTTAACTTAGCTCCGGACGAGACTATGCATGAATTTTTGGTATTTGTAGATTATTTATGCATATATCACGGGGTATCATGCATTTGATAATCAAAATGAGATGGTCCGACGTTCCCGGAAAAAGACGTGGCGGGTCCTGCGCACTTGGCAGGAACCTGGCTGGCTCCCAATGCCGTGTATACATGACGATGTATAGAGTTTCGGGTGAAACTTGGGTTGTTAGACTTGGTGTCTATAGATTCATCGAGGGTTGGGAACATGGTCGGTACCGCAAGGCCTTATTGGAATCGAAATGGTTGCATGCATATAGATCAAAAACTGTTATGGAACTTTGTGAAGTTCTTGTTTTGATTGTTGGTGATGAATGCGTGCTTGCTTGATACTTATTGTTTTGGGTGCTGGGCGGGATTTATCATGTTCGTTTGTAGGCGCTAACTCACTGAGTAATTTGGATTACTCATTCCCACTCTATTTATTGTAGGTGACCATAGTTGGGAGCCTTAGGAGGACGCTTTGGATGATAGGAAGTAAGTGTAGGTGATTTCTGGTGATTTTATAAAATCTAGGTATTTATTATGTAACAACTTTAAACCCTGGATCCGACTTATATGACTTGAAAGCGTTTTATATA